AAAAAAAAAAGTGCGGGCCCCCTAAATATAGCCCCCCCAAAAAGGAACTACTTTGGGGCCTATGGGTAGGCATGTAACGAAGGACCATGATCCGGACTTGCCAGGTCTTTGGGCCTCCTTTTGCTCATGCTTGGCCATGACGTGAAGGCAAAAGAGGCAAAGAGACGCATGTCGTATAATTCCCAAAAAGAGCCCGGAGGAATCATGTTATTTCTTGAGGTGGGCAGGTGGTGCTAGAGGCGGTGGTGAAAGTAGTAGCAGTCGCAGTAGCAGTAACAGTAGCAATAGCAGCAGCAGTAGTAGTGTTAGTAGTGGTAGTGGTGGTAGTAGTAGTCGTCGTCCCCTAAACCCTAAACCCTAGACCCTACACCCTAAACCCTAGTAGTAGTCGTAGTAGTATCCTCCCCTTCAAGTCAAGCAGCCATGTCCCGCTCGCCGGACTGGTAGGCCGTTTCTGGCCGCCTCAGGTCAAGAGGCAAACCGACCACCATGTAGTTTAGGGGTTAGGGTTTAAGGCTTTAGGGTTTAGGGGTTTGGGGGTTTAGGGTTTAGGGGTTTAGGGTTTAGGGGTTTAGGGGTTTATGTTTACTGTAGGGTGTGGGCTACAAGTTGTTCATACTAATGGTCGTTACACAAAGTTGGCTTTAGTGTCTTCCTTGGAAGGAGCAATGCAAGCAAAGAGCCCATGGGAAATGGGTTCAGCAACCAGGAACGTTCCGGGCCGGAAGACTCCAACTAAGCCTCTTAAGCGACTCAACTCGCCCCTCCTCTTCAAACGAAGTCCGGCTTAATGTGGGGCCCAAAAAAAGCACATAAGCAAAAATTAGGATAGGGATATCCCATATAGATCCCCTTATGAAGCCCAGTAAGGTAGGGATGTCCCTATAAATGCTTATGCTTATGTGCTTTTTGGGCTCGTAATAATGGTGATGAAGTCCCTAAGCACGAGCTTCCGGCCCTGCAGGTCCCGCATGCAAGCGCCAAATCCAAGGCACTGCAGCAGCTGAGCAACCACATCCAGCGGGGAGTCTGCCGCAGCTTGCGGCAAGGGCATGTCTTGCAACAGGCCCAACCAGGAAAGGAACCTGAGTAGGCTGTGTTTGAACTGCAATACTGCATTGGACCAGTATACAATGCCATAAATCAAACCGCCACCACCGCACCACCCCCACGACTGCATACCACGACTACACTACCACGACGACGACAACGACGACGAGTTCTACGAGTACTACGAGGACGACGACGACGACGACGACGACTACAACTGCTACTGCTTCTACTGCGACTGCGACTGCGACTGCGACTGCGACTGCGACTGCGACTGCGACTGCGACTGCGTCTGCTAGCGCTGCTGCTGCTGCAGCGAATAGTAATAGTAATACCAGTGCTGCCGATCGAGGACGACGACGACGACGACTGCTACTCACAAAAGCGGCTGGCTGCTGCCGGTGCTTACTCATACCAAATTCTTGGTCGTGTCAACAAAGGCGTAAAGCAAACACCAACAGCACCAACAACGTGAACAACAAATGGAAGAGCTCTGGAACATCGAAGCGTGTGGCCTGACAGCTTCCGAGGAGCTCTAAGCCCGTCTCATCATGGAGACCGGCCAGCTCCAGCTGCTTCCGAACGGAATGATACCTGCTGGGACGGCTGCAACGTAAGGAATGAGCTCGGAGGAGCACCCTGAACCCTTCTATAAATCCCGAAGCCCTATGCTGCCCGGTTCATCATAGTATTTACTGGAAAAAAAGCAGGAAAAGAGGGAGATAAAGAGAGAGAGAGAGAGAGAGCAAACGAAAACAAGGAGAAAGAGAGCTTAATTCCCCAGGCATCAACCAAGATGCAGCTGAGAGGGATCTTCCTTCGCAGCCCCTGACCCGACCTCCGACAGAACCTGGGCGCTTCTTTGTGCTTTCAGAGGGTTTAGGGTTTAGGGTTTAGGGGTTTAGGGTTTAGGGGTTTAGGGTTTAGGGTTTAGGGTTTAGGGTTCAGGGTTCCGGGAGGTGGGAGGGAGAAGGGTTCAGCGGTTTGGAAATTCGGGTTTGGGATGCGGGGTCAGGCTGAGGGTTCGGAAGTACAGGGCTTGAAGCAAGCGCATACGTGGGCTTCGGGGCTTTAGGCTTTCGGGTGTCCGGGACGTGCGGCGACCACCACTCTTGAAATCCGAAGCTCCACATTGGTTAGCGAGAATCTCAATCTTCCCGAGAGGCTCTATCGGCACCGATGCAGAACAACGCACAGGATCAATTCGAGGGAAGTCTTGCGATGGGACAACTGGCTTTCAAGATCGTCGGACATAGAACACGGTCTGGTCCATTTTTATACACATCTACTCATCTGTAAAGACAATGAAAGGATATTATGGTCACTCATGAAGTGCCTCCATTACAAGAATGTCTGGGCCCCCGAGCATGGGGGGCAAAAGAAAAGTCACTGATGAAACCCTGAACCCTAAACCCAAAGCCCTAAACCCTGTACTAAACCCAAAGCCCTGAACCCTAAACCCTACAGCCCTCAACCCTGTACTAAACCCTAAGCCCTGAACCCTAAACCCTGTAGCCCTAAACCCTGTACTACACCCTGAACCCTAAACCCTATAGCCCTTAACCCTGTACTACACCCTAAGCATCTCCATTTAAGGACTTTCTGGGTCCCCCGACCTCAGCCAGCCATCGCCTTCGCGTGCCTTGGAAACCCGTCAGCCCAGCCACGGGGCCCAGGCGAAGTAGGCCCAGCCTTTCGGAGAGAGTTCATTGATTCAGGGTTTAGGCTTTAGGGTTTAAGGGTTTAGGGATTCATGCGGTTTGACCCCTAAACCCTAAAATTTCCCCTAAAGCCCTAAACCCTACACCCTAACCCTAATACTTCCCTAAAACCCTTTGGGGCTTTACAGGGTCTCAGGTTTTGGACTGTCGGGCTTAGTAGGGCCAGCCTGGGTCTTCAGGGTTTTGGGGTTGCAGGCCGCTGCCTCTCAGAGTGGAAGTTGAACATGACAGGGGCGTGGTTCGTGTGTGGATACTGTAGGGGCCTTAATAAATAGAATAGGGTTTTGGGGGCTCCTTATTCTTATAGTTATAGTATAAAATACCGAAAACCCCATTCTACTTATTAAGGCCATGATATTTCGGCCAGAACACCGTGGAGGAGGTAACCCTGGCGATTCTTTGCGGGTTAAAGTTATACACACTGAGCTGGCACGATAGCCTACTCAAGCAAACACAGGAAGCACAATTTCGAGGTCTCGGGTTTGTTTGCAAGGGTGAGGGATGAGGGTTCAAGGCCTTCGCACGATCGGTGATGCTATGTCACGCGCATGCCAGAGAAACCTTAAACCCTAAGCAGCTTGGCTTCGAAATCTCGGGATTTCGGGCCCTAAACCCTAAACATCGAGAGTTCGGAGGCAAGAGGTTTTGTTCTGCTGTTTTTTGGGCCCGTCCCTCAACCGCATATCAAACCAACGATCGATTCCAAAGTAGCCCTATAGTACCCTTATAGAACCCTTACAGTACGCTTATATTTAAAAAACCTCATATGCGTAGAATCCCTGGTTAATTATGGTTACCTTCTTAGAGCCCTTATTAAAGGAACCGAGTCGAGACGGTGCTGGCCTGGACAAGACCAACATCCGCTCGCAGAAGCCGCGGAACCTGCCAACAAGACTTCGGTTCGCTTGGCCTGGGCAATCCTTCCTTCTTGCAACAACTCTAATAAAAAAAAAGCATCCAAACCCCCTTCTAATCATTCTGCAAACTGGCCACGGAAACTAGCTAAGTACAAGCATGACTGAACTGTTTGCTCGTGCGTGCAAGCCCTGCGCATCTCTTCAGGAACTGACTTGGGAGCTTGTGGGTTGGTTCCTGGGCCTATCGCCTCTACCCTGGAGCAGTTTTAATAGCTGAGGCTCGGGAGACACAGATCGGAGACCGCGGCTCCTAACGGGTTCAAGTTAATCGGAGTTGTCAACAAGGGGGAGCCTTGAGAAGCAGAAAAGGGCTCTGGGACACACTGTAGTATAATGAATACAGGGACTGTAAAGGGATACGCTTATTCATTCAAGCTGTTCTGACCCATATATGAGGCGGCTTCTGCAGCACACAAACACACACAGCTGCGCAGACACAAAGATGTCGTCTTGCCGGGTCGGGCTTCTGGGTTGTAATTTAAGGGCTCAAAGACTTAAGTCTGTATGAAAAGGAACCTCTTTAGAAGAACAAAGGCAAATTAACGAGTATCCCAAAGCTCCTAAACCCTAAACCCTAAACCTTCCCTGGGCTTCTGAGGCTGTCGAGACCCCGAGCCCGGGCATGGCATTCGCAAACCCAGCCCGCTGAGCACGCAAGAACCAGGGCGTTAATGAATAGAATAGGGTTTAGGGTTTAGGGTTTAGGGCGTTAATATAGGGGCCTTAATGAATAGAATAGAGTTCTTGGGGCCAAACAATTTGTAATAAGGGTTCCTTATAAAGGGTTCTGTAAGGGCGACCACAAGGTTTAGGGCTTAGGAGCCTTGTAATGCTTAGAGGATGGTTTTGGGGCCAAATTATACCATAATTATAATAAGGAACTCCCCCAACATGGTACAGGTAATTCTTAAGGCCCCTTTATTAAATCCAGAGATTCGTTGCACCCCATCTTTCCGGAAGTCTTACAGACTTAGGGCGCCTTGGAAGGGGCCCATGTGAGGATCGCATTTTTAGACGCAGCCTCTATGCACCCGAAGCGAAAAGTCCCGAAACAAAAGTGCACACATCCCAGTTTGCGGTGTGTCGCACAGTCCGTCAAGCTCATACTTCTGGTTGCTACTGCTGAGATTCGCTGAACTTGGAGCACCCGGGCGGTGCGCGGGGGCCCAAGCAGGTTTGCGTGGTAGAGATGGCCAATGCAAGGCAGTTGCTGCGCCTTCTACACCCCAAACCCTGAACCGTAGTCGTCTCAGGAGTATCTAAACTGAAGCTAACAGTGTCGTGGCCTCAGCGTGCCCCTGAAGAAGGTCGGAATGTCTTCGAGACCATAAAGCTCGGCAAAGAGCGTTGAGTCCCTGTTCGGCAAGACCTGAAGACGCCGCAAGAAATTGAACAGTACCCGGGCATTACAGTCGTCAGTATGAGTTTACGTAAACAAAAAAGTAGACGGTTAAATGAGTGAAACTTGTACAAACAAACACACACACACACACATGCAAACATACATACAGACGGACGGACAGACAGACATATGTGTGTGTATATAAATATAAATATAAATAAATATATATATATATATATATATATATATCAGGCATCTTTGGCTATGTTCAAATGCAATCATCTGTATCTATTTACATATATTCGCATATGTCTTTATTCAGTTAACAGAGGTATATGCGTACATATTCATGTAGCTATAGATATACTTGTTGCTTAAACTGTAGTATAACATATCATACCTTATCATGCCATGCATATAGTCTGTTTATATACATGTATACATATACGTAATATGTAGATACTGCGTTCTTGTTCATGTGTACATGTATTTGCCGCATCAGCTGCTGGTTGTCTCTCTTGACATTCATACAGATGCAACCCGACGCGAATCGCTTAGCTACTAGTAGATCCTTGGGCCTGTCCGGGTGTGACCGTCGGAAACCTCGGGTCCCTTTAGGGTTTAGGGTGGGATGTGGTTTTAGGCCCAGCCCCTCTAGGGAAAGCAGTCCAAGCGACATCCAGGGCGAAAGAATTGTTGATGATGATGGGCTTTGCCTGTCGCGTTTCGGGCAGGCAGAGAGACTGCGGAAAGGAAGACGGGTCTAACAGATCAGTGTTCAGGTGTCAACTGGAATGCAAGATAGCAACGGGAGCGTAAGCTGGGGCTGCAGGAACCTAAGGTTTCATGTGGGGAAGACAAGGATAGGGAGCCCGACACGCCTTGCCTCTCCCGCACGAACCGGCTTTTAAGCAAAGAGCGGAGCTTCTAAGTACGTGTTTGTTTGGATGTATGCATGCATGAACACATGCCTGCATGTATGTATGTATGTATGCATGTATGTATGATATGCCAGTTTATACTTAGGTATCTGTGTACAGAGGTCAGTAAGTAGGTCGGCAGGCAGGCAGGCAGGCAAGTAGGTAGATAGG